TACGGTAACAATCTTAACATGTATAAAGCTGAACATGTGGTACAACAACAGTGTTGATCCTGCTTTACATTGTGTTTATCAGGGGAAACAATAAGCATGGTCAATAATCAGCGTAACATAGGTGCAATATTTCTGACAACCAAAATATATTTTAAAAAATACCAAGAAACGTTTGTACAATTTCCATCTATATGATGATGGCCTGTAAATAAGCGAGTCTGGAGCAGACAATTTCAGTGACTGATATAAATGAGCAATGATCCATGCCTTCAGGGTATAACGGTCACCACCTATTACGACCAGCATAGGTGAACTATCCTTATCTGGAATTCCCACAAGTGAGATTCATGGAACATTATTGTAATTTCAAGGCATAAATGTCCAGGGCCCACTTGCACAAAATGATCTTAGCACTAAGACTATTGTAAGCCTATGCTAAAGTATGGGAGTTACGATCATCTTAGCGCTAAGATCGCTTTGTGCAAGTGGGCCCAGGTCCTTCCAAGCCAAAATCAAATTCAAGGGTTTTTCAAGCAAGCACTGTGTGAACTCTGCATAAAATTATTATTATGGAAGCATTTCAAAAGTTAAAAGGAAATAAAAAAATATAAACCAATATTACAGTACAGTTATTATGGAGCCTGGAGAAAAATGTGCAAATCAGGGCAAAATTAGCTGATTATTAATAACAAATGTCTCCTATGTACATATTTTACAAGAATTTTATATTCGTTGTAGTTCACAAAATATATGTTACTGTTCAGGAACAAGCTGGCACACATTTGCCATTACATTAAAACAAACTTAATTATGTACTGTCATATACATTATGTCTGTGACTGCCTGAGATCAAAGATCATAGGTGGTCTCTACTGTGTTGGGGATGTCACACATTGTAACAGTAAATTCCCTGAAATTAATGGATGGAACACTTACATGCTCGGTGATGCAGATGATTTTACATCTATTTCATTAAAATCTATATACTGTCGACACATTCACGACCAAATTTTTATTTGAGCCTGATTCGACCAGCACATGGCTAAAAACGCAGACATCCACACAAATTACTCTGAGTGAGTGAGTGAGTATGGTTTTACGCCGCTTTTAGCAATATTCCACCAATATTTCACCGGGGGACACCAGAAATGGGCTTCACACATTGTACCCATGTCGGGAATCAAACCCGGGTCTTTGGCGTGACGAGCCAACGCTTTAACCACTGGGCTACCCGACCGCCCCCAAATTACTCTGATGAGCAAGAGAAATTCTGTGTGAAGTAACAACACGTGCGGTCTGACGTCGATTAAAGAATAATTTGCACACTCGTATATGCAAGGGGCCGACGTATGGTTCTCAGTAGGAAGTGACAACTTGGAGACGATGGCTTGCGGTATATACAGTTTTACTTTGTAGATATATACATACAGAAGACACTATGTGTCAGGTCAGCACATAGTGTTAGTGGTTGTTGTCTAGGTGCCCCGGAGCACCCAGCCTAACCCTAGCTAGGCTAAGGGTAAGACCTTTCTTTCTTCTTTTCTTCTCAATCTCTCTGGACCAAGGCTTATATAGCCAAGGTCACCTGACATTTAGTAAGTAATAAATGTAAACAGTAATTCATCAGCAGGATGGCAGACGGTCGATGTACACAAAAATGTTGGATTAACAATTAGGATTAGCATCTTATAAATAACAGCAATTAAGTGTTTTAAGGCATATAGATGTCATGACTCTAGGGTAATGAGCCTTTGCAAATAAATGTTCTTCAGACAATGGGTGTTGTAAACTGTCACTATGACAGAAGTTTGACACTGGAGAGTTTCAAATGGCGACATCAGCTCCAAAATACTGTGCCAAATAGTTCTAGGGCATTTTAAAACTATTTTAACAAAACTGTACTAGAATCAGGGTTTAGAAAAGTGGTTAAAATCGCACTCTCTAATAGAAGGGCATATATATTAAATTCCATAATCATGGATGCAAACTAAAGGAATTAAGCTTTTTCAAACTTTTGAACTGGTCCCCGCCTCTCCAGAGAGTGGGGGGGTGGTTCCTGCAAGTCCCAGATACACTCGTGACCTGCTAGACTGTCACACATTCACTTCATGTCTGGCCAGCCTAGCACAACGTGACCGCCGTGTGAAACAGATAAGATATAAGATCTATTGCATAACTTGTTTCTGTGGTACAATCTGTCATGGCAGTAAGGCCAGGTAAAACAAATTTGTTTTTCATGACTTTTTCAAAAGCTGACTGGAAAAGGCAGGAATATCATGTTTTATTATTAGATTCTTAAGAGGGTTACAATTTGCAAATCAATTACCATATACTACGTAATAAGCGCCCCGCTCTAATAAGCGCCCACGGCGACATTTGCTAAGATATTGGCGAGTAAAAAATCCCATTTCCCAAGTATAGAGTGACCGGTTTTAGTTTGTTTGTTGTTTAACACCACACTCAGTGATATTCCAGCTATACGACGGCGCTGTGTAAATAATCCAGTGTGGGCAAGACAATCCAGTGATTGACATCATGATCATCGATCTATGCAATTTGGATACGATGACATGCATCCAAGTCAGCGAGCCTGACAACCTGATCTCGTAAGGTAAGTCGCCTCTTTCCGACTAGCATAGTCACCTTTTACGTCATGCTTAGGTTGCTGAAGAACTATTCTAACCCAGATCTTCACCACTATTAAGTGATAGGTCCAAGGTCATGATGACATCACCCCACCCCACCCCTATGACACACTATGCAGAGCGTATGTATTTTGTGAAAAATCCTTTATTTTATGCTCTTTTGACACTATTTTATAGCAACATTTTCATGTGATATGTTCTAATAATACTGAATAACAATCTAGATATTATAATGTTAATCATATTATAATGTTAATCATATTTAATGTTCATAATTATGTTCAATGTTGTGTGTTCCTTGTGCAATGCCACACTCAGGAATATTTCTGCTGCATAATAGCTGTCTGTAAATAATAAATAAATGTTTCTACCAGACAAACCAGTGATTGATATAATGACCAACGTCTCGTGCCTTCTTGGTACGATTTCGGTATATCATGATACACTTGATTACCTAGTCCTGCACCATGACCGTGGAATATATTTATTTTATGAAAAAATAATAATCTAGAAATGCATACAAAAGCAAGTCTAGCCAGCTCAAGCTAGCTCTATTCCACAGCATAGGGATTTTTTTTAATTTTTAGAGTCAAGAAGGATATTGTGTAATATAAGATTTCAGAGACTAAATGTTAGTCTATTGATTACCCAATCAATGCTTTAACTTTTACCAACAAACATAAACATTGATTGGACCTGTTCTAACCAAGAACCCCCACAAAGACATATTTAGCCCTAATTTAGCCCTCTCAAATGATGTAGATGCAAAAGTATATTTTAGATGATGTGTAAAATACTTTAAAAAAGCCACCAGTCTCCCCAACTCATTCCTCAATCTCATGATAAGATAGCAACATGTTCGTAGATGCCTATTACACAAATATTCAAACAAATGCCCTTTAATTTCCCATAAAATAAAATAGGAAACCAAAGTTGCAAATTGCCATGTAGCAGGAATATTGTATAGCACAGCAAATTGATACCTTTACTTTTTAGTGTTATTCTAATTGGAATAGAGTCATAAATATAAAATCATCTCATGCAATGTGTCATGTGTACAAATTGAACTAGTTTGGGAGTACAGGTGGAAATATTTCCGATCTTTGAGTCTGTTTGTGGCATCGCAACACAGTATACACAACAATTGCCTGTTCTCGAATTAACAGATCAGCCGACAATAAACATTTCAGGAATAGTTCACCTGACCGCGATCTTGTTGCACGAGTAGCCAGTATATGTGTAAGAATGTACGTTATGGGTTAATCTAACAACACGATATGTGGCCTTACATGTTTTTTTCACCTTCAGAAAACATATGCGCATATCGCCCAAAACACACACTGGCATGCTATGGAAATGAAACATAAAATGAAACAGGAAACCAAAGATGCAAATTGCCATGTATATTGTATAGCACAGCAAATCTATTCTAATTGGAAAAGAGTCACAAATATAAAATCATCTCATGCAATGTGTCATGTGTTCAGACTGAACAATATTTATAACTACTTGTTCATTTCAATTGTTCAATGTTGATTAACATTCATTGTTTTTACTTGATGATGAACAGTTCCAAGGGTACTGCTTTGCTCACAATCATAATAACACATGTTCAATACCATTTAGGTATGTAATACATCTGGACAATCTTGAATAAAAGGGTCATCTGTATGAACAGTTTGCTTGACTGTATAGTTTGAGATGGTATAGGCAATGATCAAACAAAATAAAAATTTAATCTGAGTGCAAACTGTAAAAAAATAACAGCTATCATACCCGAGGTTCGAGCCTGGCCAATTCCAAAAATATACACAGCTCCCAGTTCAGTATGACCCGAGAACACCCTGGGCACTAGCCATCGCCTACAGCAGGTGAGAACTCTTCCACATGGGCGATCTCTGGGGAAGTCTGCAGCCCGTATCTCCTTCCCCCCCCCTTTACATATACAAAAGGATTGAGCGGCATGGGATGAGGGGGTGGGAGGTTTGGGGGCGCGGGGGGGGGGGGGGGGGGGGGGGGGGGGCTATTTTGGGGTACAGGTGGAAATATTTCCGATCTTTGAGTCTGTTTGTGTCATCGTAACACAGTATACACAACAATTGCCTGTTCTCGAATCAACAGTTCCGACGATAAACATTTCAAGATATATAGTTAACCTGACCGCGATCTTGTTGCACGAGTAGCCAGTAGAATCTATATGTGTAAGAATGTACGTTATGGGTTATGTACACGATATGTGGCCTGCAGTACACGTGTTACATTGTAACGTGTTTTTCACCTTCAGAAAACATATGCGCATATCGCCCAAAACACACATAGGAGGCACTGGCATGCTATGGACACCAAAGTACTTACATCTGCAGTCGATCAACTGCAAGTGACAGAAATCAACGAGCTGTGTCTTTGATAATGAATTTGTTGACCGTCGTTCGAATTATGCCGATGACGAACGGTTGCGAGCCCTTGGAGGTGTGTGGGAGAGGACCAATCAATGTGCGCCTTTTCTATTTCCCAGGGTGAAGGCCGTCTTGTATGTTTTGCATCCGTGCCAAATATTCAGGTCATATAAACGATTGTGTATTGGACTTGTTGCAAAATTAACCCTTGGTTTTATATTCATAGTTATTAATATTCTGAGTACATATATGAATGCACAAGACAACATGTGTCAGCAGGTTTTCGTACTGACAATTAATACGAGTGTTTCTAGAAATAGCTGGGATATTGGTGGACCAGTATCAGAGACCATGTACCGATCGAGGGACGGGCATCGGGGTCAGTCGGTACATGGTTTCTACAAGTTTATATATTCTTGGTTTATCATTAACCAGGCTAGGTCGGGAGGGAGCCTTATCAAATGATGTCATGTTCAGTAAACATGCATATGCTACACAGTTCAAACAAACGATAACTTTTTTTTTAATTGCGCCACACAGTTACATTTGTATCCGGGTTTACGTTGGGTAGGTACACCAGTATTCTCGATTATTCTGTGTAATAAATCGCCATTATAACAAACCGGAAAATCGAGGAATGTGGTGGCATTATGACCGTGGTATAACTTTATATAATGTCCCCAACTAATCAACTATGCATATGTTATAATAAGATGTGAGGTGAGGTGAAATTGGGTTAACGTCGCGTCCAAGATTATTGCACTTATATAACCACGTGCATGTACGTGTGTGTGGCTGTTGTACTAGTTGGGACTGATGCCGATTTATAGTGCTAGCCCACTGCGATACCATGCCGCAGTTTAACATGAATACCCCACTCAGACACAGTATACTGACTCCGAGCCGACCAGTCCTTGTTTTAGCTCCTTAATGCCGAGCGCCAGACAGGGTAATAACAAGTACCATCTTTTAACGTCTTTTGGTATGACGCGGCCGGGGATCGAACCCTGGACCTTCCGCTCTCCGGGCGGACGCTCTACCACTAGACCACGGAGGCGGTTGTTATAATAAGAAGATAAATGGATGTGTTATATATAAGCTCGGAAAATGAGAGCGCCGGTACCTGTAAACGTTTGTTTGTGACGTCATCCTATATTATGTACTATTATGATGATGCGTCTGTTTGTGACGTCATCCTATATTATGTACTATTATGATGATGCTATTGGTAAATCAGTGACCTCCGTTGTGAGCTATTTTTCGATATAATCTTTTTTTATAAAGTGTCGAACGTAGTTTCATAAAAAATTTAATGTCTTTGCACATCACAATTAAAACACAAAACGATTTTCAGTCCCAGAATTTGTATGTGAAATATGATAGGTGGATGTTGCAAATCCAAAATGGCTGTTGCTGAGGGTATTAAAATAATGACAATAATGACCTTTATATGTATTCGTAGATCCTCACCGTGTTAAACTTGTAGCTACGGCTGATGGGAAGTCTGAATCCTAAATGCAACATTACGTTGCAAGACTAACCAAGTGTCACAATGGTCACAGCTGTTCCTGTGAAGTTCCATCATTAACATAATTGTTCATCACGTTTGTCTGTTTTTTTGTTTTTCATTAATTTATTTTGTGTAATCAGTAATTGGATTATTTTCATCGAAAACAAGACTTTTCATTTAACTCCCTTGTTTCGGAAAGATGCGCTATCTGGTCTTCAGCAACCCATGCTTGCCGTAAAAGGCGACTGTGTTTGTCGTAAGAGACGACTAACAGGATAGGGTGGTCAGGCTCGCTGACTTGGTTGAAGCATGTCATCGATCCCAATTCGTGGATTGAGGCTCATTATATCAATCACTGGATTGTCTGGTCCAGACTCGATTATTTACAGACCGCCGTCATATAGCTGGAATATTGCTGAGTGCGGCGTTAAACAACAAACCAACCAAAATAATCCGTAATTTCGAGTTTCGAGTAGGTTATTCTATCTATTACTCCTGTTACACGGGTGACCCAGTCGTCTAAGGCGCCGCGATTCGCTGTGCAGAGTTGCGTCCCTTGGGCACGCCAGAAACCTATGATTGTGGGTTCGAATTCCGGTTCACCCGATTATGTTTCTAGGTTTGTCAGCACCATACCCGTGCTTGTGGGTTTCACCGAAGTGGTAAACGTCTGAGACTTGCATCACTTCGGGCTTTCCTCCCACATTAAGCTGACACGCTGTCATATAACTGGAATACTGTTAAAAGTGGTGTAACCCAACTCACTCATTATCTATTTGACAGTTCAGTTCAGTTTATTCTCAGAGAAAAGTATAATATAAATTCATATATAATAATAAAATCAAGATGACAGGAGTAAATACATGTAGACATTGAACGTTTCAATGAAATATTACAAAATTAAAATGTCAGGAATCTCGCGTTTTTAACAGCTTCAACATTCTAAAGTTTAAGAGAAACTTCACTGAAGGTAGTCTATTGTTCAGATGACGTTATGTAATCGAGTTGTGACGTAATGAACAAAGGATGTCGTCATGTCGTATTTTTATCTCAACATTGTAGCACTGTGACGTATTATTGCTTCACTTAACCAAACCGCATAGATAATCGCTAAAATGTACACGTGCAAATATCGGAAAGTCATTACACGCAATTATTCTACCTCTCTGGGTAATATTTCCAAATATTACAACTGCATAACATGTGTAGCTTATACACTAACCTTGAGTCACGCAGCCACAGCTGTTCCAGTGATTTTTGATTTTTATTATCATAAACACGATTGCATATTATGTTTAAACTGTTTAACGTGGCAATGTAAATGAATTTGTTTTGTAGCTAATAAAACCGGACTTATATCTTTGAAAACTAAATATATGTTAACGCTGATTTTATATGTGGAACATAGACTTTTAAACATTTCTTTTTTTCTTTTTCTTTTTTTTTTTTTGGGGGGGGGGGGGGGGGGGGGCGTATAGACTAGGCTTGGGTAAACTAAATGCAGACACTCCGCAGACATGTTGCATGGTTGCATGCTGTATCGTTCAGCTTCGTGTATATTAAGGGTCGGTGTGGTAGCCTTGTGGTTTAAGCGTTCACTCGTCACACTGAAGACCCTGGATCGAATCTCACACAGGCACAAGTGTGAAGCCCATTTCTAGTGACCTCGCCACGATTGCTGAAATATTGCTAAAAGCGGAGTAAAACCATACTAAAACCCATGTATAGTAAATACTTTAGGCCCTACGGATTTAGGGCCATAGTCGCATAAATAAGTTTATACAAGTTAAAAGCAACACAACATTTCATGAACGTACTTATACATTCACGAATCATTGTAAGGTTCATGACGATTAAGTGTTCATGAAAACAGTGAGTATATGCATGCTTCTCAATGGTAGCAAGATCACAATCCAGTTTACATTAAGTATCACATACAGTATCAGAGATACAAATATATGTGTTTTAATCGGCCACGCCAATATTACCACGTGTCCTGTCATAGCTAACCATGATCTATATAATACATGTATTAGCATTCCTATCGTGTTTAGGTTGGATATGCGCATGCTAAACATTGGTACGGTTGGTGGACGAAGTTGGTTTGTTGTTTAACACTGCACTTAGCAATATTCCAGCTATATGGTGTCTGTAAATTATCCACATGATCGAATCTGGACCAGGCAGTAGGGATATACGACGACATGCATCAACAGAGTCAGACTAACCACCCAATCTCGTCAGTCGCCTCTTGAGACAAGCATGGGTTGATGAAGACAAATTCTAAGCCGGATTTCCACAAAGTGTATACAGCACTATAACCAACTTCTTTGATATATGTTGATAAAAATAACATGACAACCAAACACAAATTCTTTCGCGAACATATCTAACATCAAGCATATTGTTCGATGTGTATTGTATAAATACACCCCTCTTTAAACATTTATCAACACTTGTATCGCCGGTAGAGCAGGCATCAGTTTACCAGGATAGCAAGAGCTAGTATTTGATTTAATATTAGACACACTCTTGCTCGAAGAAAACACGTTAACAAAGCTCTAAGTAGTGCATGTTATTCTACACATACCTGTCTGTGAGCAATCTATCCACCAATCTTCTGACAAACGCACAAGCTGAACTGGGGAGGCTATTTCAACCCGACCTGGTGTGTTTGACTCAAATTATCATATAAAGGGACATAACTCCTACCGGTGTGTATTACATCAAATTTCATCATCATTGCACTATATGTCACTTCTTTGACGTATCACATAACATGCTTACTATGCAGTTTTTAAATACATTTTGCAAAATATGGTACTGACAGTATTAATTAATAACGATAGTCATTATTCAGAATTACTGGTTATAAAATACAGTTTTAATCTTGCAGTTATCTTGAGGGATAAACTCAATTGGGTTAAAGTGAAGTTATGTATACGAAGTTCGTTTTCCTCCTTTGAGTTAAATTCCAACACGTGTTTAAGATTCAATCGGGTCAAATATCGACCCTTCACTGCATTGAAAGGAAAATCGATATCACTTTAGTAATGTAATATCTCACGCCCATCATGTTCAAGAAAGTAATTATGTGCTCCAACGAGACTGATAATGAAACTACATGTAATCTGATACGCGCTTCGCTCTGTCATTATTTTACTGTAGTGAGTGAGTTGGGTTTAACGCCGCTTTTAACAGTATTACAGTTATATCACGGCGTGTCAGCTTAATGTGGGAGGAAAGCCCGAAGTGATGCAGGTCTCATATGTTTACCAGTTCGGTGAATCCCACGAGCACGGGTATGGTGCTGACAAAGCTAGAAACATAATCTGGTCGAACCGGGATTCGAACCCACAATCATAGGTTTCTGGCGTGCCCAAGGGACGCAACTCTGTCAATCGCGGCGCCTAAGACGACTGGGCCACCCGTGCCCCCTCTTTTACTATAGCGTACATGATACAGTCAGTGTGTAAAATGTCCGAAATTTTTGCTGAGGCAATTTACAAGACGCCAAAATATTTCAATCATTTTACACATATTTTTCGTCAGAACTAAAAGTTATAAAAAAGTAATAAATGGCTTAAAAACAGAACAATCGACTTATTATGCTAGGATAAGAACCCAATATATTTTTTTAAACATACACCGACTTTCGTATTCTTTTAATCCTATCATTTTCAGTTACATGTTTGGAATTCGTAATCATATTAATAAAATGAATGGAAATATTTTTATTAAATGACTGAAATATTTGGGTGTTTATAAATTGCCAAAGTGAAAAATTCAGTCATTTTACACGTTGACAGCGTCATATACACAGCTCCAGTATGCGGGTGTGAATACGTGTGAGGTGAATGTGCATTTTTGTTTGAAATATTTGATTTCCTACTTATTCATTGGTTATTTCTTCTCTTTAATATATCCTTTTAAACACATTGACTCATTACTTGCACATGTGGCCTGATCTACTATGAATAAATATTTTGTCATTCTTTTTGTATATTAATTGGGAGCATAGTGATTACGATCCCTCGTTAAGCCGGCGGTCCGGGTTCGAATCCACACGTACACGCGAGAACGTTATGTGAAAGCCTGCTCAATCAAACTTGCCTCATGCATGCAATTCAATATACTAACAATAGTCATAAAACGTAATAAGTAGATGCATGACAACAGCGTCGGGCAGACATAACATAAACATCTGTTCACAACCCCACCACACCCCTCGTTCCTACCCTTGCAACATACTTTCGATTTGTTAAAATAGTCGTGTGTTTGAAGTTTTGAAGTCACCTACCCAAACAACAACAACGCACACCCCCACCCCCACCCCCACCAAATTCAAATTCAAAAAGTGATATACCCCCTCCTTTTTATTCCATCCTCTGTACTGAAAACACACTTGTTGTCTTCGTGTAATGTATATTGATTATAAGGCGCTTTACATGATTATTAAGGAGAATATTTTACACCTCTTCGTAGGACTTGTCTGACATGGTCCCCTTCCTCTGCAAGAGTGAGTGAGTGAGTTGGGTTTAACGCCGCTTTTAACAGTATTCCAGTTATATCGCGGCGTGTCAGCTTAATGTGGGAGGAAAGCCCGAAGTGATGCAGGTCTTCGACGTTTACCACTTCAGTGAAACCCACGAGCACGGGTATGGTGCTGACAAACCTAGAAACATAATCGGGGCGAACCGGGATTCGAACCCACAATCATAGGTTTCTGGCGTGCCCAAGGGACGCAACTCTGCACAGCGAATCGCGGCGCCTTAGACGACTGGGCCACCCGTGCCCCCTCCTCTGCAAGATCAGATCGACAACATGAGTTGACATAACTGTCAATAACGACAACTGGCATACATCGTGAGAGCAGTACACAGATAACATTTCTAGATATGGGTATACATGTACAGTAAACTACGGTTATAACGAACTCAAAGGGACCACCCATTTTAATTCGTAATAACCGTAGTTCGTTATAAGCATATATACAGCATATAATGCAACACGTGGCCGGGGCTAACAAGTTAGTTCGTTATATCGGTCAGTTCGTTATAAGCGTGTTCGTTATAACCGTAGTTTACTGTATATCAATTGCTTGAAGTCAAGAATTAAACGTGGGCGAGGCTTAGGAAATTCGATTCAAGTTGTTTTTTTAAATACTTGCATTCAATATTTATGGGAAATCGGACTGTAGGGTAGAGACCGTCTTTAAGACGTCTGGATTCTTTTCCACCCAAACACTTGTCGATTGTGCACAGTCACGGTATAATACGATTGTGAAATCTGACTTATGAATGTAACTAAATGCAATTTGTCAACTGAACGTCAATATTCAATTGAAAAATCTGTATACGGAAGTACATTTCGACACAAAATGTAAAGCAACGCCCAATTACATAACCCGCCTTGGCTGATATCAATGAAGTGTGTAGATCCATTGATATATGATTACAATATTGTCGTAACGTATGAATGTATTCTCTCTCCTCGTCACGCGTCATCTTTCCATTGATTTTGTTTTGAGTGCTCTAAAGTTTGAGTTCCGTATGTTTATTCCTGCGGAATATACCAGCAAGTAAATTTATAGAGTGCAAATGTCCTCGATTATCCAGTATTTTATGTCTCCATCCTTATCATGATATTATGGAGCACGATAATCGAGTGTGTGGTGTGTGGTAACAAAGGTTATGCGTATGCATAGTTTCTGTATAGGCTAGTGGGTGAGTGAGTGGGTGATATAAGAGTGAGTGGGTGATATGAGAGAGAGAGAGAGAGAGAGAGAGAGAGAGAGAGAGAGAGAGAGAGAGAGAGAGAGAGAGAGAGAGAGAGAGAGAGAATCTGGCGAATGACGAATCCTGGCACGACTAAGGGACACAACTCTGTACAGACAACAAGGGGACGAGTCCCTGTGTTTAAGTGTGTATTGTCCTCTTACGTATACAATTATCTCACTCAACAATTAAAAAAAAGCATGTCACAACAAGTGTGGTGTACAATCGGCGGACAATATTGCAGTTTCCTTGAAATAAGGCAATATGCACAAGGATATCATTTCCGAAAGAAGTAGGACAAGCAATAAATTGTACAGTAGAGGAATCCCCCAATCCCCTCGCCATAGCTAATGATGACATTGGCGAAACCGTCAGGTACCTCGCTTTCACCGACTCGTGTCTCATCCTGTCTCGTGATCTGCCACTTAAACGAGGGCCGACAGTCGGGCGACTGACCATCTTCCGGAGGAGAGGGAGTTAACTGATTTTAAAATTCAGTGGAAACTGGTCTTTTACAGTCAGTTTACTCGATCCCTTGCTTCGGGAAGATGGCGACTAACGGGGTCGGGTGTTCGCTGACTTGCAATTGGTTGATGCATGTCATCGTAACCCCATTGCGTAGGTCGATTTTATCGAAAAAAAATATATTGTCCCCCGAAACGTCTTGACAAAAATAAATGTGCTTTAGAAATTGCCAGCCACAAAAATTACATTGTTGCAATGTGTTTTTGTCATAGTTATAAAAAAATATATCTGTTTTTTGACTAAATAGCGCTATGTTTCACTATTTTACTCAACAGTATAACTTGGCGTGGCGTGAAAAAACGTACTGTGGCGTTTTGACCAAATAATCTTGTCCATTTTGGCGCTGGAACGTTTTGACTGGACATCAGATTCACGATTGCTCATCACATATGCAAATGTCAATAAAAAAAATGCTTTGAAAATCTGTGGACTGAAAGGACGTGGCAGTTGAGATATTTGAAACAGACCATACTATATGAAGTCACCATTTTCCCGGAAATGAAAGAGTTATCGTTCACACAAGGGAGGTAACTCCATGTTTATAATTTTTGTCGTGACAGGAGAAGCATAATATAGAAAGAAACATCAATGCTCACTCAACCAGACGTGACTGTGGTTTGACAAGACCAGGATGTGGTCATATCCTATTTGAAAACGTAGCAACGAAAAAAATATGTGATGCTTTTCAAGGCACAAGGATATTTGTACAAATTTGAAAATGGTTGAAATAGAAATCTGACTCGCGAGCTCAATTTATCTGAGTGGACATCAGACAAGGAAGTATATTACATATCAGATCATGTCACATCAATTCTCGTGTGAAGGGTGACGCATACGACCAATACGTTCTCAAGCAAGACGATGTAAGGTACGTTTTATCGGCGAAGTTAATTCATGAGATCGTGTGTGTAAGACAATAACCTGTTGACTTTCTTTATTTTGATTCTGTGTTATTTGATATGACCAGCATAAATATTATGACCTTCGATCGCACACTCCAAACTGATTTCTTGAAAAGAGAAGAACACCCTCTTCTTTATCCTCTCTTCTCCATGTTCTTCTTCAAATATTGAGTCCTAAGCCCCAAACTCTAATTAACAATGATAAACAGACACCGTTGTGTTAGCTGTCAGCAATTATCAAGTGATTTCTTCTCACAACAAATATAAAAAGATGTACTTTTTAACAAGTTTCTGCATGGCAAAGAGTAGCAGCTGACACATGTTTCCCACATGGATGAGACCATTTCCTTTCTAATGGCCTTGAATGCCATATGCAGTTTTTGACATGATAGGTTGCTCCTCATATATATTGAGGTGAAATGGGGCTAACGTCATGCCCTGTTGAGGTGGTCGGGTAGCCTAGAGGTTAAAGCGTTTGCTCATCACGCCGAAGACCCGGGTTCATTCCCGACATGGGTACAATGTGTGAAGCCCATTTCTGGTGTCCCCCGCCGTGATATTGCTGGAATTTTGCTAAAAGCGGCATAAAACCATACTCACTCACTCACTTATATAGCGATTTGCATGCACATGTGTGTGGCTGCATGTTCTTCAGAGCCCCAGATAAGCTGCGTATCTGCGTAAAATACGCATCAGAAATGCAGAAATACGCAGGAAAATAATATCCAAGCGTATCAAATACGCAACAAACCTTACAGATACGCTACAAAAATAAAACTTGTGCGTATCATCAAAATATTGTGAAGTAACCCTGCGTATTCGATTGGCAAATCAGCAACTTATTTTAAATTATGAACGGGCATTCCGTCAACCTTGCCAAACTCCATGATGACAGTTACGTCATGATCATTTGCCATCACACTTTCTTGTGGAAGTATCGTGGTATATTTGAGTCCTATAAAGCTCTCGAACCCACACAACACCAGTTTGCAGGGACTAGATGAATAGTGTTTTTAAATATTTAACTTAAATACCCACATGTGTAAAAACTAGTGGGTAACAGAAATTTGAATACCCAGATAGAATAGCTGATACGCAGTGATTTTAAAATGCATGGGTAAAATACCCACAACACCAAAAGCTTATCTGGAGCTCTGTTCTTGTCCGGACTAATGCCGATTTTATAGTGCTATCCCTTTGAGATACCATGCCACATTGTGACGTTCTCGGGTACCATGACGTCACTTTAGAATTGGCTTTCACTTTGTGTGAGTTCATTGGAGTATGAACCTTCGGAGAGTGTGGGCCAAATTGTATGAACGTCAGGGCTTGTGTTGCATTAATTCACTGAATGATGTCACTGTTGTCTATAGATTTATGTTTGTAAATCAGTGTTTGAAATAATTTTATAACCCAACAAGACAGAAGGGCTGGTGACCCATAAGTGTTGCCTGCCCATCTTCATAGTTACCTGCCCGCATTCAGACATTATAAACATTGAAAAATTATAAGACAAATTTGCATCTTGATTTGGTTGAAATAATGCAAACCATTAACCATTACTTGAGTGTAACAAGAGTCATCAGAAGATGACAATTACCCCTGACCCCCACAATAGCAAAAGGCACCACTTCAGCCCCTGGTTGATGCATGTACCAAGTTTGGATGAAAAATCTTTAACGGTTTTCAAGTTATGCTCCGGAAGCGGAATACGGATGGACGGACAGACCAGATGATGACTAGGATAAATCTAAATAAAACTGAATACGTAAGTAGTCTTAAAATGATCTGTTCGGCAGGAGGAAAATTTCATGCAGCCCGACAGAAAAGTTACAGGCAGGCAGGCAGTTATTTCGGACACTATTGTTAGTGATCAAATAAGCAGTCTGTGAATTTATTACTGTTCACATAATTATTTATGAGAAAAGACACCGATATGTTTTTGCATTTATAGGGTTACAAATGTAAAAAAACGTTGTGTCGACTTTGCGTAAATACGCATTGTCTATTTACACAGTGTGCAAAGTAATTTTTACGCTTTCATTTCCATAAATGCAAAAAGTATTGAAGTCATTTCTTATGATATAAATAAAGTTAGCAAGACAGACTGCTCGCTTAATCATTAACACACATAAATCGTGGATTTACACAATGTGCACAGGAGTTTTTACGTTTATTCTTCCATAAATGCAAACACTGGTTATTTACGGTTTAAACTAAATATGTTAGATGAATGATTTTTTATGATAAATAGAATCTTGTGTTCCTTTGAAATGATAATATATCATAAATCATGTCGATAAAACTGATTTATTCTTGAAATAACAAACCTCCAGAGAAGTAGACTAAAATCTAGTCTCTGAAATGAACATATCGTACATAAAAAAAACAGTTGTTCAGTTATCTTAATAAAAATATAATAAAAAGGAGCCCAGTGACTCTCTTCAGTGATCTAGACTTGCCAAACATTATAGACTTGCATGGGCTGTATTTGATATATATTTGTATCAGGGTCTGTAAGACAGACTACCAGAGAGCTTCATGTCTAATAATGTCAATTACGCCAATAAATTCACCATGACCTGATTAATTTTGAGCTGCTTATGTACAATTATAAAAACACTGTGTGTGTAATTACCCAACGTGCTCTTTCAGCATGTTCAGCTTGCGTACCTGTATTTCACTGCATGTCTCTACTTACTGATCGATTGCAGTTGCTTAGTGTTACTTAAGGAGATATATCACTGAACACTACAACTTGACAGATCTTGTTCAACATGTATTGGTTTTTTTTGTTGTTGTTTACCACCGCACTCAGCAATAGTCCAGCCTTATGACAGCAGTCTGTAAATAATCAAGTCTGGACGAGACAATCCTGTGATTGACATCACAAGCATCAATCCATGCAATTGGGATATGATGACAGGCATCAACCAAGTCAGCTAGCCTGACCACCCGGTCCCGTTAGTTGCCTCTTATGACAAGCGTGGGTTGCTGAAGACCTATTCTAACCCCGGAATCTTCACGGGTGATAATATGACATGGAAAACACTTGGGGCAGAGAGTGTGACCATGGGACCATCATCCAAAAGTGTTTGTTAGTTTACCCCTAGAAAAAAATCAGAATGAAGAATAGGCTTTTTGTATCCCCTCCAAGTCTGATAATCACACTTACCAAAATAACCCACAAAACTTGAGATGTAGCCGTAACGAGTACTATTAATAATTTCACCAGTACTCCACATGAGTCGAGCAGCGTGTGTCATTGATGGAAATTTTAGTATCGAGAAGGGATTTATCTAGCCCTCCAAACTATGTGCCCTTGGCAGACAAATTGTTAAAAAATCAGGATATTGTTCAAAAGTGGAGTTTTGAAAACGTTCATATTTACATTAATTGGGACTTTTTACTCTCATTCTCTTTAATCTTGGGGCCAAGTATCGGCATCTGACCAGGTCTAGATAAATAACTGATCGATATACCAACTCAGAAGTATCACCAGTGATCACAATATATCAATTAATAATAAGATTAATTATTCTGTATATGTATAGATAACAAATACCCATAGGCCTGCAATCCATGTCACATTTTACCATATTTACAAACATGTCTGTTGAAAAATAAAGATTTTGAAAAAGAAACTTCTTTATCCTACCAACTCTATCTTTTCGCAAGAACAAAACATAAATTGAATGATCTGCCACTGTACAAAGGTTTTCAGAAAACAAGTCTGGACACCAACTAATAAAGACTAAGGGCTTAAGGAGAGTTTATGCTGGGACCAGTTGGCAGAGTTTATGTTTGGGTCAATTGGCGGTCATAGCAGTAAGAAGAAGGTCAGTTACAAGTTCAAAACCAGGGTTTGATAAACATATTTTTACCAAGTTGCCCTTGAGGATCACAGAAAAATCACAGGTCCCACAGAAAATATGCAAGAAAATATGAATTGGCAGTTTGGATGAATCTCACATGTTTTTTAATGCCATAATTGCATATGATTAACCATATTTTCCAGCAGTGCCCAGTGGCCAGACCAGCGGGTTCAGTTGGCTGTTCACAAGGCCATATTAACATGATTCATACCAGGGTCAGTCCTGCGGATCAGCATATTTCTCATATCCTGTATACCCACCCAAATGTTATGGTGGAGATGAGTCTACCAGTTATAGTAACCTAACTACACAAATGTTTCCCTTACAAATGTGACACTAATTACAAAACATACAACCGTATTGGACGTAATAAGTGCCCAGGGCGCTCTCCAGATTAGAAGTAGGGGGCTCTTATCAGAATATTATTTTGGTGAAAAAACAGAGTTGAAAGATCGTAAATTTCATGGTTTATGCTGACACCCTGAAATGTTTATATACGACAGATATGTTTTTCCAGAATTTAATTGCCAATAATTAAGGGTGCATATACACACGAGTGCATATTATACACAAATAAATAAGTCTTGTGTACATTGATCAATTGAAAGGGGTGCTAATTGGGATTGTTCACTAGCCAATGTATTAGCAAATATCACCGTGGGCGCTTATTACTTCCAATACGGTATATCAAGACCCGGACTGGAAATGGCCTCCTGTCAGTCCTGGGAACATTGTGCTTCTTTAATTAGGAAGACTGATGTGGGTTAGATCATTAAATGATACAGTTATACTTATTCAAGTTACTGGCTGTCTGAAAAATGTTCATTTGTCAAGATCCTGAGAATAGCTAACCTAATCATTAAACTTGTCATTCATTTATTATAGGCATGTAAATCAGATGTTTAGATTGTGAAAAGTTCACTTTTCCTGGAGCAAGTAATCTGTTTCATTTAAGCATAGACTTGAGGCACCAGTTGCTTAAAATTTTTTGTATGGAAAAAACAGTCAATTTTAGTGTCTTCAACATGTTCAACCAAGTGCAAGCCTTGAACATCAATGGTAATTTAGGACGAAAACACTTCTATTCATAT